CCCAAGACAATTAAGAAACCCATCAAATCGGAGAGAATTTCGGAATCCGCCCGAAAAAATCACATTTATCACGCAAAGTTACGTTCTATATTAATCAAAACTCTAAATATAGCCATATTCCAACTCACGATTCATTATTTTAGGCTCTTCATCCATAAATAGAAATAGGCGATATCAGAGGCGCCCAATACGTCTCCAATAAGAAATCCAAGGCATCCTTAAGCTAGTAGAAATTATTATTATCCTTCAATAGAACGATATCTAGATAAGAAATCCAAGGCACCCTACCTCGGATAGAAGAGTTTCTCATCTGACGCCGTCATTGTAAGTTTATCAATCCAATTCTCTCCAGATATGAATAAGATATTAGATTCTATCTATATATTTGAATATATATATATATATATCATACATATGTAGATATTGAAACTACAACTTTATATAAGATCCCCCTGAGAATATTTCAAGCACGAGTACCTGACCTACCGCCTTCCGATTGGTGAGTACGGACCCATTGTGGCATAATGGCAACGATGAAAAAGATAGATTTGGCTTTAAAGGACTTCATATATGGTTTCATTCAAGACCTCCAATCAAACTCCAGGAGAATAGCAGGTTGCCAGAATCCTTCATGAGGGCGGGTTAGAACAGTCTGGGTGGAGACAATGAAAACCAACATAATAGGTAGTTTGCTACCGACTCTGTTCGTGGGCCCTGTCAGAGCGCCATCACTCTTAGCTTTGCAGGCAATGAGCAATTACATTTTGAAGCAGTTTCTCGCCTACTCGAAGCGCTTCGCCGGGGCTTTGACGGTATCGCTGCTGCTGCCCGCCAAGATGCTCCTTCAAGAACACGGAACAAGATCTAGGCCATCTAGGCCTCAACATGTCAACTTCGCTTCTCCGGCCTAATGAGACCCGCGTACGTCTGCGGATTGAGCCCATGGTTCGCAACGAGCAGGAAGATGGGCACCGTCTCAGAGCAGTGGCGAGCATTTAAGCATTGAGACGCATTGAGTTTCCGTACGCTCAGTCTGCAATTCTCCTCTCGGCTTAAGCCGTTCCCAAGCTTTGTGTAGCCGGCTTCAGCCGCTGAGGGTAAGGCAATGATGGCAACAAAGAGGTTGGTCATGAGGGCGCCAACGTTGATCTGGCAAGCGCAGCAGCTTGCTACGAGAGAGAGGGCTCCTCATCCAGGCAGGGCTCACCAGGGATCCAGACGTCCTGCAAACGGCTCTCGTCTCTTCAAGAGAAAGGTGCCATCTTGCAGTTTGCTGGCCTTGTCCTCCTTTCCTCCTTCTGCCGCTTCAGCCTCTCCTTGAGCCGCTTTTGTGCTCTCGTCTCTGCGTGGGAGTCGCGAACTTGGGCCCTTGGGCCCTGGCCTGCTCCCAGGCAGCCTGGCACTCTTGCACTCCCCACCCAACACCCCGTTGGAACACAGTGCCCTATCTCCGCCCGCGACAGCCCGCCTGCTCCTTGGCCTTCTCTTCGTCGGCCTTGGTATGCACCTGACTCCAAGAATCGCTCTTGTGCATGTCCCTGCATTCCGACGGCCTTGCTGCCAGTCGCCAACCGCGCTGCACCCTGCAACAACAGACAACGCCAAAGAAGCCATACCCTCTGTCAGCAGTTGGGTCCCTCGGGTGTGCCTTGTTGTCCAAAATGTCATTGAGGACAATGGCGGTGCGCTCGCCAGCTATCCTGACACGTCAATTATTGCCTTCGGGCTCCCGGTCCAGTTCCTCTGACACGATTGCCGTCATCAACAGCGGTGGTGGACTTTCTAAGCATTGCTTACATGGCAGGAGTCCTGGACTGCCGGGTCCTCACGATTTACTATAAGTCCAATACGAGCTATGTTGCAGGGAAGGATTCGTTATACGAGCTCGCAAATGCGTACCTGCCGAGAACATGAACATGTATACCGCACTGCAGACATCCGGCTCCTCTCATTAAGTCTCTCGCATGAGAATCACATCCGCGAAATTCAGTCCCCCCAACTCGGAGCTTCAAGTCGTCTCCGTCTCCAAGACGTGGAGAGAGACTTCCGGCTGCTGCCGGCTGCGCCGATGCCGACGCAACGACGCCAAACTCCGAAGACGCCATACCCCGTATCTCCCTTCCGCCCTTGCGGCCCGCCGCTGCGGGGTGGGCCCATGTGGGCCCGGCGCCCGTCGGCGAGGCTTTTCGTCTCTCGCAAGTCTCGCTAAGAAGGGACTTTCTGAGGGAGCGGCAGAATCTGTCGCAGCCAGAGGTGCCTCCACTCCTCGCACAGGGCGGCTGAGGATGGCTGATGGCAGGGGCCGCAGGGGCCGCAGGGGCCGCAGGGGCAGGGTCTCCTGATAGGCTGCCTCGTCGATCTCCACCGGTTCGGGGCCGGGCTCCGCATCCGGCCCTGCCAGCTTTTGGCCCGTCAAGGGGTGCGTGTAGGCCTGCAGCGGCGGTGGTGCGGTGGTGCAGCTTTCTGCAGGGTGCGGATGCGCGCGCGTCCGCGCGCCGATGCGCGCCCGCGCCTTCTTGCAAGAGAAGTGGACAGCCTCCTCCATCCAGCGATCGAAACTCTTGAAGGCGCCATCCTCGCCACGGCGGCGCATGCGGTAGCGACGCTGCGGCTATAAGAAAGGCTATGCTAAGCATGGCAGAGCATGGCAGAGCTAGCGGCTGCTAGCGACAGCCGCTGACACTCCGACTCCAAGTGGTACCGATCTGCACCGATCGCCAATCGCCTCCTTCCACTTCCTCTTGTCGAAGTCCCACTCGCTGCCTGCGACGATGCAAGAAGGAAAGGCGCCTTAAGCCAAGAAGGCAAGACGTAGACGTCCACGCGTCCACCAGCCCTAGACTTGGCTGCGGCCCGGCAGCTGACAGCCCGGACGTGCGTCCAGCCTCGGAAGCTCGGCCCACGGTGCTGCGCGAATGCTGCGCGGCATCGCTTAAGCTCAGAACCGCCGAGCCAGTAGTTGCTCTCTTCCGTGCGGACAGCCTCCACTTGAGCACGTCGAAAGCCGCGGTTCCATTCACGTGCTTGGCCTCTGAGATGGCTTTGTCCCAGACGTCATACAAAGACATCGTCTTGCCTGCAACGAGGAGAAAAGTAAAGGGCACTAAGAATTTCTCAACTGGTTCGAAGATCTGGGGCCCGCTGGGGTTCTCGTGAATGCCGGCGAGTCTAGAACATTTCTTGGCATCATCTCCGAGCTCTCTGTGTGTTGCTGACAGGGGCCATGCCCATGCTGTGCAAGCAGCGGAAAGTCAAAGAAGCCGCTGCTGTGTTGGACACAGGCCTCGAAAATTGACTTGCACTTTCCTGCCATTGTCATCTTGAGCGTAGCCAACATGCATAGGCCTGCAGCCCGGAAGACAGAAAGCTCCGAGATGCGTGCGGCACTCGCGGTGCGCCGTCGTGCCGTGGTCTTATGTCATCCTTTTGCTACTGCACTCTGGTTCCGTCTGGGCTTTCAAAAGGGCTCTGTGCTCCAAGATGTGTCGCAAAGGGACGTGGCTCAGGCAGCGGCTGGTGCAAATCGCCTTAGGCCAGCGGGAACCACAGCTGCCTTGATATTGCTTCTAAGAGCTGGAGCTGTGAACAACATCGATTGACATGACATCATCGCGACGACGGTCTGCGCTGAAGAAAGCAAAAAGCATGCTTTTGACAGGTTGCGGATCCGCATGTTTGCTGGCGTCTGCACAAGAACGCTTGAATCGGAGAGTAGCTCCAGGCAAAAGAGGGGCGTGGAACCGATCAGAGTCTCAGGCACTTCGGCGGCATCATGAGAAAAAACCCCAGCAGCCCAGGTCACGGGGCCCTCACCTATGAGATTGATCAGCATCTTCAGAAAGTCGGCATCGGAAAACTTGATGCCCTTTGATTCGCAGCACAGGAAGAACATGCGATCGCTCCTGCCAATGGCCAAGACTCCGGCCTTGGCAACTTTGTTGTAATCTATGATAGGATACTCTATCCTGGCGCAGGGATTGGGAAGACAACGCGCTCTGCAATCCTGGCGATCCCGCCTTCTGCCTTCATCCGACAAGACCTGCCAATAGCTAGCCCCGCAAATAGAAGCGCAACTTTGCTCCGAGACTTGTCGAGGAGGGATGCCTTGCCATAGAAGTGCTTGATGGCTTCCAAGAGGCAGATGTTGTCCTTGAAACACTGACAAGTCTGACATCGAATCCGCCCGCTGCACCCGCTCCTGGCACTTTGCCGATCTTCTCTCGCCACAGAAGCCACCCTCCGAATCTTCATGAACCTCGACTGCGAGCATTGCACGCATTGCATGTGTGCCATATCCTTGCTCGTGGACGTGCCTGGAAATGGAGCCTTGCAGTATCTGGATAGGTGTCGTGAACCTGATCACATGCTACGTGGCAAATGCGGCATAACAAAACGGTGATTGGCGACGGATTAAAGCGGAGATTCATCGCTCTGGAAATGTTCTGGTGGGAACGGAGCATTCAAGCCAAGTCTGCAGGAAACATGACTTCAAGCTGACTCCAGCTAAGGACCAGAGGAAGGCTGACGGGATCCATGCAGTCACATAAGCACTGCAGTTCCTGTGGCGACGGACCCGGACTCCGGCACATCCCGACCTGATGTCCCCAGCCGGCAACGTCCGAAGCATCCTCCGCCAACAGAAGCGCCAGAGAGAGAGAGAGAGAAACGCGGCGTGGCGGCGTGGCGCCTGGCCCCCCATCATTCGCTTGATCTGCCTCGGATGCGCGCGGATTTTGCCGCCGGGATGGACTCGGATCTCTGCTCGGCGGATGCGCCAAGGCCCGCCGAGGCCTTGGCTTGATGGCCTCTTGATCCATCGCACTCGCCTGCCACACGCTTCATCGTCGCTGAAACTGGACACATCCATATATCTTACAGGTCCCATGTTCCGTCCTGGTCCTGGGAAGCCTGATAGCGGTGCTCACGTGACTTTTCACACAGCACAAGGCCATGCACCAGGAGCCGTGGAAAGCCACCACTACAGGAGCAGATCGCAGAGAATGAACCCGAAACGCATCACAGAGTGCTGAAACGATGCCAGAACGAACTTCAAAGGATAAAGCCGGACTGTGATGTCCAAGAACAGTGAAATGGTAGTGGCCTTTGCAGATGGAAGTACATAAATCGTGAAGGGATCAGGAAATATTGATATTGCTACGCAAGCTTGAATCTTATGTGCTGCTGCACGTTTGAGAAAATCCTGTTCAAGCGACCCAGCAACAACAGGAACATGCCGGCAAGCAGAAGCCCCCTGCAGACTTAGGGACAGGCACATGTCTGTCCCACGGCGTCGTGTGCTTCGATGTCGAAGCCCGTCTGAGTGACAGTCTGACTCGGAAGATGAATGCAACTCGCCCCTTCAGCTCTCGCCCCACCTGCAATCCTATGACACGGAACAAGGAGCTGCTGCACGTTTAGGAAACCTAGAACAGCGCATAGCCACATGCGGTTCTCTCATGTCTGAAATCTACGCCAAGACCGCTAAGATGGTCTGGCTTCTGAGAACAGCTTCGGGTGAAGAACTTCCGTGGCCATTACTGTTCTTCTTCTGTGGGCATTGCGTTTTTTGTGCGTTGAGGGGGCGAGCAATAGCACCAGTGCCAAGTACTAGAACGGAAAACAAGAATAGCAACAGCAATAGGAAGAGAAGTGGCAATAGTCATGAGAATATCAGCGGAAATACCAGGGGACAGTGACGTACCGGTAACGGTAGCAACATTTACAAATGACTGTACTCACGCAGACGCTAAGGGTAATTATAGTGATAATCTTGATCAGCTGACAGCAGCAATCTCCAGTTTGACTCAGCATAACGCCATTTAGGGGGCTCTTTCCAAATGGCACTGCTCCTGCTGGCGACATGGCGCCGCTCGCAGGCTTACTGTATCTTGCGCAACGTAGGGATTCAGCTTCTTAGGAAACAGCATACCAACTGCCGCAGCATGAATGTTTGTGTACTTTAAGTGCATGAATACCATGTGCTTTTGGCAGCAACTCCGAATTTCAAAATTTAGTCGCTAAAACAATGACCGCTGGCTGGCAGATTAAGGCGCTTTTGACCAGCGAACACGGTGTCTGCCATTGTACTTGCCAATGTTAAAACATAATCAAAATTCCGAGTAGTCTGTCCAAAAAGGAAAATAGTCAAACACTAGACGTATATAACTGACTAGCTAAAATGAATGGACGGAACCAGGAGGTACACTGGAAACCGGCTTGGGAAACAGTGCAGAGGGCCTTTAACGTCTCACGTTGCGTACATCCAATTATGCGCAAGCGGGTTCGCTACCAGGGAGGATCTTAGACTGTATTACAAGTGCTCTTGGGTCAGGGCTTCTTGGAGTTCACTTCGGCTTTGCTTGAAAACGTAGCATGCGCGACATTTTCCATACATTTCCAGAGCTAGCTCATGAACATTCTGTGTTTTCGTCTTTGCTTGTCAACACTGAATCGACGCAGAAACGCGGCACGCGTTTCTGCGCCCTATCTTGGTGCCTTACTTGAAGTTTCTTTGTTCGGTGTTGGGGGGGGGTGGGGTGTGGGGATGACGACGTACATATCGGGCTTTTCAGCGACAGCCTCTGGCCAAGCGGTTCTCGAGTGAGAAATACCATTCTCGGTACTGCCGTGTCCACAGCTCGGACACCGTGCGCGTGCGCACGCATGCACGCGCCCCCCCTTCATCTTTCCAGCACCGCCCAATGAATGAGTGAATCGGTGCATGATTGACTGAGCGAATGAGCGTGCCCACCCAATGAATGAATCCTTCTTCCGATCACTGAAAGAGTGAATGGGTCAAGGATTGAATTAACCAATGAGCGCCTGAGCGCTTGCGCTCTTCGTCTCTTCTCCGGGCCCAATGAAGGTCAGCTCAACTGGCGATGAATGTTTATTGAACGAAGGAGCGCTCCCGAAGCTCTGAGTCGAAGGGCGTGCTCCTGCGCTGCCGGCCTCTGGGCTTCGCCCCTTAATTTACACCAAACCACCTTTCTAGTGATTTAGGCCTCTGCATTACAGCTCTGCATTGATAACAGAGAATCCCGAGCTCCAAAGCCTGGCTGAAGCACCTTTGACCATAAAGTCCATAGCCGTACATAGTTGATGCATCACCACTCTTGATGGCATAGCATAACACAACATAGCATCAACATGAATGACTCCAAGACTCCAGGATCAATCCGAAAAACCTCAACACAACCTTTCAGAAACCTTTCTTCCGCTGAACCAGAAACACGAAATCCAGAAAAAACACGAGTTGAAGCCACCCCTGTTCGAGAACCCGCTGGGAATTATGCAGAAGAGTAACACAAGGTTATGCTATTTCGGGAAGGCTGCGCAACTCCTGTATGATAGGAACAAACATACATAGGAGAAACGGCATCGCGACATGCACAAGGATATGCAGAACATGCAAACAAGAGGAACACACACAACAAATGAAGACGGTTTCAACTGCTCGACCGCACTTTTCACGCGTTGAAGGAAGTCCAAAGGAAACGTGCATGCACCCACACACAGACACAAGCACACACACACACACACGTATGTTGTTTGTGTCTCTAGTCGTCAAAACTCATCAGGTTCAAATCGAACATTCCTATGGCAGCAAGACTGCGAAATATAGAATTAGTACAAATGGGACACTGCCTGGTAATAGGTCTGCAAAAACCGCGCCTTGATCACATCTAAAATGCACGAGAGTCAGAATAATAGCAAAACAAGAATCCTGCCAATAGTACGTAATGGTCAAAGTAATATAAAGCCTTGCAGTAGGAGTAGGCTCCATTCAGAAATACAACCTTGGCCACACAAGCAACAATGGCCGAAAAAACACGTCCTCCAACAGCTTCTGTGCCAGGGATTGTTGCCAGGGGTGCATGGCACGTAAACAGGGTGTTGAGCAAACGGACATCACGTCGGCCAATTAGGCCCGCTGCAGTGATCACTGAGAGCGCAAGGAGAGCTGCCGCCCTGGAATAGTCAACAGCGCGATGCCAGAAAGTGTATTCGCGTAATTACTCACACATGGAGCCAGGCTGCAATCGCCATAGCCCTCGCATCGCGCTGCAGCTATTCGCAAATTTTGTTGAAACACTGGGTTGGGCAAAGAGCTTGGCTTGGTTTGTGTATGTGCGTGTGTGTGTGTGCATTGGTGCTGTGATGCTGGCTGTGCGCGATTGACACGCATGGCTGCGGCGACGCGGCGCACACTGTTCATGGATTGCCAAACAAGAAATAGCTGGAGAAACGTTAGACTATTGACTAGATCCTTCCTCGGAGACCGTCAGTCAAGCAGATTGCAAACAAAAACGAAGTGATCTTTCGTGATGGTCGTCGTCGTTGTCGTCGTCGTCGTAGTAGTAGTGGTAGTAGTAGTAGTAGTAGTAGTAGTAGTATCGTGGTCGTGGTGGCGGTTGTAGTCGGAGTTTGGCCATATGTTCGCCACTCTTGCTCTTGTTGTCATGGCGACATGCAGCCGGTTCACTAACACTGACAAGTCGCACAAGGAACAGGCATTGTTAGATAGATAAATCGTAGTCCACTCGTGAACTTGCTGGCAAACCTGGAAACCCCCATAAATCTCGCTTGACAGTAAAGACCCAAGATCGATTCAAAACAGTCTCGCTCACCCATGAATAGCCGACATAACCTTCTGCGCCAACCAATCCCTTAACTTACCAGTAAGCCACTCTGGATTGTTCCAAGTCAAACACCTCAACAGAATCTTCATCTTCGATGTCTGCTTCCGCTTGAACATACTGAGTAATTACGTCCTTGACAATCAAGTTCTGCAGCTCCGCAGCCCTCAGGTCCAACCCGACATCGAAATTCGAAAATAAGAAAAACTTCCTAATCCTCATCTGGATTATGATCACACTCTGTATTGATGTGCATGCACACACATGCCTGCATGCATGTATAGAAGCCGGGCTCGTCTACATATGGTCTATATACAGAGACTCGTAGACTTCGTTCTCATCAACTTCACCATCGTCATGTGCACCCAACAGTACTGTAACAGGACCTTGAGGCAGCCCCCGAATCCCGAACACAGCTGCGAAGATTTTGGGTGCAGCGCTGCAGTTAACCTTTCGGTCTCGCTCGAGAGCTGCTCGCTGATGCATGATCATCCTGACTGCTGGCTTCTTCGTCACATCTCCAAGAACGCTGATGTCGGCTGTGCTTTCTTCCGCCTCCAGGCCGCGCAGATCCGGCGCGGAAACGAAGCGCATCTCCGGTTTCAGGGCCCTCAAACCCTGAGCAAGCTGCGCGTCGACACGTGACGCACAGACTCAGCGTTTAGGAGTTTAGGGCCCGAACTTTCTGCATGCAGTCGCGGTAAAAGGCAGCCCTCATCAGATGCAGGAGATCACACAAATGTTGCGACCTCGGACGCGCGTTGTGCCTGGAGTGGTTCTTATTCATGCTGGCCAAAGCATGCATCTTGTGGGTGTAGAGGAGGCTTGAAAACGAGACTGTCGTCGCCCTGGAGTTTCAGTGTATGTTTCTGAATTGTCAGCCCACTGTGAAGACCAGGGTCGAAAAAGTTTGAGTAACCAGCATGGCTGTCTCGTCCGGATCATCGGGATCCGATCCATCAATCTGGCAGAAATCTGAAGGTTTGAGATACTAGAGTCAGCTTGCGCCGCTTGCGGGCCAAGCCAGGCCTCGACTGCATCACAGACGCAGCTCGGCTCCTCGAAGTCCTCACAGCGACGCGGAGCCGAGGAAGCGTTTCGAAAGATAGGGCTCCACCCCACGGCGGGAGCCTCGGAGCCGGTGGCCTGACGAAAGGAACGGAAGCAGCGGAAGGCCGGCAGAATGCTGGAAGGCTGGGAGCGGGAAGGACCAGGAACTGCAAAATCAGCAAGCTTAGCTTAGCTGCATCACCCTACATAATGATTCTTGACCGTCATATTCAAAGTCGGTATTGCGTTGGCTTTCTCTGTTGAGATCGTCCAAGCAAAAGCCGCTGTTGCGAAAAAGTACATCTCGAAAGTTTGCATTCTCCGTTGTTTCTACTCAGCGTGTGCGATGGTACCATAGCAAGGATCGTCCACGCGAGTGCTTGCTGCTGCATTGAGGTGCCGCCCTTTCGCTTGGGGAGGGTGGGCTTTGCAGTTCAAACCCATGTCGCCTTATACAGCCGAAACACTTCGTATTGTCTTTGAGAGATAGGCGTAATCGAATCCATTGCACCACCGGTAGATTGCTTAGTCAGTCACATGTTGATTCTTGACCGTCATATTCCAAGGCGGTATTGCGTTGGCCTTCTCTGTTGAGATCGTCCAAACAAAAGCCGCTGCTGCGAAAAACGTACATTTCGAAAGTTTGCACTCTCCGCTGTTTCTAACCCGGCGTGTGCGATGGCACCATAGCAAGGACTGTCCGAGCGAGTGCGTGCTGCATTGAGGTGTCACCCTTTCGACTAGGGATGGTGAGGTTTCTGTAACAGGCGCAAAGCCTTCGGCAGCTGCAGAGCCTACAAGAACGCAAAAACGCTTTTTGGCCAGCTCGAGCAGAGATCCCACCCTTCGGTCGGAGCGTTCAATCACTGCACCATGCGAAACCTCATGCACAACAAGCTCGGGAACTCACATCGATAACATTTTTCTGAGGTTTTCAGGGTGCAAATCGCCATACACTTCAACGATGTCATCGGAATACCAAGGATATCGTTCCTGCCGGCTGAAAGCACGGACAGAGGCAATGAATGCCTCTTCGCGGTCCTTGAGAGTGCCGACAACCCCTGTGAGGTCGGAGATCTCATGAGGCGTGCCTGGTGATTTCAACTGCTCTGCCGGCACTGGACTCAGAAGGATCTCTTGGATCCAATCCATCACGTACTCTTCTTGATTCATGTGAATGCCCTGTTCATCTTGCCACACATGACAACCAACAAAAATGAAGCCAAGCCCTTTCGCAGAATCCCACTTCCCAAAGCGGAAGGTGTTCTGGAGGTCTTGCTTGGCCTTCTGATTCTTGTAGGGCTCACTGGACTCTTGGCCTGCTATGAGCAAACCATCCAGGTGTACTCCGGCCCAGGGTCCTTGGGATCAGCGCCGAACATCTCGATTGGAGCAAATACCAGGACGCTTTCTGACTCAAGGCTCTTCAAGTTCTGCAGGAAAGCACTCGTCACATCCCCGCTCTCGAGGGCAAAACGGTGGTTAGCAGCAGTAGCTAGTAGCACGTTCCTTCCAGTTCTGGAAAGTGTCGGAGCTGACGTCTCGACACTGGTATGCTTGTGTGGTTGGTACCCGACCACCACTATCTTCCCTTGGCCCCACTGTCTTGCTTCCGGGTCAAGACCCAACGCATAGCCATGACATTCTTCATGTCAACGTTCTGCATCTCCTGAGCCAATATATAGAGCTCGAACGGCCGTTTCCTCGATGGACTGAGCCTCGTCGTACTCGCGCTTCTCGACCTCCGACGGGTGACCGCCAGCTGACCTCACGCGATTTCTTGCTCATCTTCTGAGACAGCCGGATAGCTGCCTTCCTCAGTCGCTTCCTGGTATGCTTCAGGCTTCAGGTCTCGGTCAGTGACCTCAATCGCACACGCACAAGCTGCGTGTTGTGGCAGCTCCCAACGAGACGGATGTCCTTCGCACGGTCCTGCTCAGGCAAGCTCTTCATCTGAGGATTTTTCTCTGACGTGGAGTACGGTGCCGCACTAGCGTGTTCCTCCTCAAGGTACTCCGGTTGTTCCGGATTAGCGGCAGGATCGTCACCGTGGAGTACGGTGCCGCACTAGCGTGTTCCTCCTCAAGGTACTCCGGTTGTTCCGGGTTAGCGGCAGGATCATCACCGTCCCCATCATCAAGTCCTCGCAGGCCTCGAAGCAGTTCAGTTGGTACGGTGGTACTGGAGTGTCAGGGACAGGGGGTGCCTCAGCAATCTCCTCCGGAAAGTCTTCAAGAGGACCGCGCTCAGGAGGTTGCGGGGGTTGGTTTGAGGAACTCTCCCCAGGACCTTGAAGACGCGGTGCCTTCCGCTGATCCTTCAGGCCGTCGGGCCTGACCTTGATCACGAGGTGGCATGTACTTGGCACAGTGCTCCGGAAGTATCCCAAATTGAGGCTCCCGTTCGCCAACGATCCATCATAGCTCGAGAGGGCTTCGCATCGGTCTTGAAGTTGTCCTCAATGATGTTTCCACCTCCAGGAGCTTGCATTGGTGACGGTGCGTCTCTTTCCAGACACATTTCATAGGGGTAAACCTTCATCCGAAGCGTGAGCCGTGGGACACGGTGTTTTCTGATCAACATATTGTTACGGATTTTTCAACTGTTACGGCCATGCTGCACTTCTTCCTGCGGGGCAGGTTCCACCTGAACGTCCGCCGGTCCAAGGTCCTCGAACTTCCCGAATTCCCGAACAGGTCCTGCCCAGGATTTTTCTATGTAGCGTCCGGCGTCCAAGAAGTGCTTTCCACGATAGCCCCTCAAGAGGATGTCCAATCCAACAGCTGTGCGGAGGGTCACAGTCCCTTCATCATCGTTGATCCCGTCACTAGCCACCATGTCGTTCGTTCCTGGAGAAGCACCCGAAGGGGGGCCGTCCAAGCACCACAACCAGGTTTGGCACGAACTCGCCACAGCATGACTGACTAAGGATCCCGGATCGTGTTTGGCAGAAGGTCTTTGGACTGTGTTGTTGAGACGGGACAGTTTCTCAGCAGCATCGGCTCGAGAGTAAGCCGTTTCAGCTCTCGCCCGTAACAACAAAGTTCTGGAAAAGCTCTTTTCGGATCAAGCCCAGCCGGAACAAAATCTTCACGCTGCCAACCGCGAAGCCCGTTGGAAACGAGAATATACCCAGTAGCAGCATGAATGTGTGAGTTGTGGCCGTGATACGCTAAAGCTGCTAAAGCAAGCAACTCGGAAACTCCCAACCCAAGGTCCTTCTTGTCGATCTTGTCGGCCGCCCGCTTGATGATCTGGATCGTCCGCTCCTCGAATCCAAGAAGCCAGTGTGCTTCAGCCGCCACGGTCATGAGACCAATGCCGCTGCGACCCACGAAGTCCAGCATCTCGCGACTTGTAAAGTAGGGGGCCGTTCCCTTGAGGACACAGGTTGAGGCATAGCGTGATGCCCGATCCACCATCAGCAGGGCCTTGCACTTGAAAGGCCGACCTCCTAGGTGAACTCGTACTCGAATACATCGGCACCGAGACCACCGAGAACTTCCCAAGACTGGCAGGTTTCTCAGCGCTCGCCACAGGAGATGCCCACTTCGGGCTGCCTCTGCGCTCCAAAAGCCGTGAAAGATTGGAGAAAAAAATGCCTGCCCAGAGGCCCGGTGGATGCGCATCATCAAATCGCGAAAAATAGCCAGCCGCTTTCCGGACGGTTTGTTGTCCAAAGGCATCGCAGTGCCTTCTCTCGACAAGGCATAAGCATAGGCCCTTTCTTCTCCGGTGGTTAAGGCTTCGAAGGTGCTCCCGAAGGTCGTTGTCATCGCCCTGCATTTCCCAGCGAACTCCATCTAGAGCAGCGTCACGTAGGCGATGAGGTAGGCGCACGCGGCCTGGATCATCAGGATGTTCCTTGTGGCCCGGGCACCGACAACGACAAGAGGACGAAGAGATGCCGCCACTTGGCGGCTCGAAGTTATAATCCTCCACCGTTTGCCGCGGGCACTTCGATCCTCATGGTCAGCGCAGCCCTCGATGATGAAATCATGCAGCTTTCTCCAGGCTTCCTCGGCAGCCGAAGTCAGGAAGCCGGGATGACCTGAAGAGTCCGAAGGTCGCCGAGAAGGAGCCTTTCATGGTGTGGTTGGCCTTCGCGGCTCCGCCAAGCAAACCCTCTGATCCTCTGGAGAGCCCAGGGCAGTGGAGGAACCGTCACGGAGCTCAACGGCGAGCCCTCGAGGTCGCCGAGACCTTAGCTGAAGCTGGATGTCGTCAACTTCGCGAGGGGTGACGTATCTGCCATCCGGAACCTCCAAAATGGCCGTCGCGGTAACCACCGCGGTGAACAGCAGGGGGAAGTAAGTAGCCCCCGCCAGTTGCATGCTTCGCCGGATGGCGCTTGTGAAACGTTTGCTCTTCGAAGGCAAGCCCTTGACAACATCATTGTCCGGATCCTCCACCCGAGTTGTTCTGGTCCAGAGCAGCACTCTACGCATCGCTTCGCCCGGCCTCGCTGCGGGCCTCGCCCATCACTGCTCGGGGTCCTTGCCGTTCGCCACCAACTCCGTGTGGAGCCTGTCTTGCGAAGTAGGAGGCGGTCCTCCTGATCCCGAATCGTCATCCAAGCCTCCTGGATCTCCTTGAAGTGGTCGTCCTTGGCCATCTCACCCGACGAGGCCTCCACCGCTGATGATGGGCGCGGCTTGGCACTCACCTTTGGCTGCAAGGATGCCAGGGCATTCCTTTTCAAACTCTGTCTGTCTCCTTGACCATGGCCTACCGCCGCGAGAGTCGCAGGTCGGCGGTGTTGGTGAAGGGTCGCGCTCCTCCATCAAAGTCTGGACCTTCACCTTCTCTCCCCGTGTCATCTTGCGGCCCTGCGCCTCCATGAGCTTGCCTTTCACAATGCTGTCCTCCGGGTGCATCGTCACGCGCAGCTCCTCCAAGGCCGTCTCGACATGAGCCTCCGGTGCACCCGCGGACGTCGAATATCCATGGCCGCCCTTCTTCAGGTCGTAGCTGTAGCTCAGGGGGAAATATTGCATTTGTGTTGCCGACCGACATCGCCATACCATCACGGCTCTGTTCAGCATGATTCACCAGATCACCGGATGCACCTGCACTCACTGCCAACACTGTCTCTT